TTTTTGGTTTTGATTTTTTGGTTTTCTTTCTCTTTGGTTTGTTTTGGTATTTGGTTTTCTATTTTTCTGTTTTTAAGTCTCTGAAGACTGCTTTAAATGAACATATAAATGAATTTTTCCTATGCCCAGCATGGTACTTGACTGCTCTGTTGCAGTCCTCCATCAGCTGAGTGCATGGCTCCATTGAGGGCCAGGGTCCTGCTCCACTTTTACCACACCATACATTTGACACATGGAGAAGTTAATAGCTAAATTAGTAAACCTGAATTCATATGTTTCTTAATATTATCAAACACTTTTTCATTTATCTGCAATATTTCTAAGTGGTTTTTTCTCCTTCATCACCCTCCCAGTAATCCCCATGTCAGAGCAGCACTGAGATGAGTGAGCTGACATAACCACAGGGATTTCCCCCTTCCACTTGGGACCAGCCATGGATTTAACACACTCTGGCATCTCTTGGTAGATTCTTTGGGTTTGGGTTTTCAATATGCCCAACAGATCAGCCACAGAGGGAGCAGCATGAGAGAGGCCCTGTAAGCACCTTGCCATGCACTCATTATGGTCAGGCCAAAATCAGAGTTCTCCATTGAATAATTTTGCTTTTAAGTGTCACTGTTTAATTCACCTTGCTGATGTTGAGGTGACTGGAAGCAGTAAATAATTCAGTTTTACTGTGAGTTGCAATGAATTATACTTGTTCTTTTCCATCTGTAGGCATCAAATGAGAAGGAAAATCAGTGTATAACGTCCCAGCCACTCACCCCAAAGCAGACACTAGCCCAGTCCCAGATTTTCTGTTTGCTGAGAGTCAGAGAATGCACCTGAAAAAATTTACTGAATAAGACCAGTTTGCAATGATGATTTACACAGAGCCTGTGCCCCAGAGAGCCGCAAGAGAAAAGCCAGCAGCATTTAAAGCTGTGGCTCCACTGAAAGCCTCCCATGCTGAGATACCTGATCCAGGTTACTCTGCTGACAAATTCTGGCTCTTCTCCAGTGTATCAGAGCTGGAGCCTCCTGAAGGGTCTCCAGGGATATTCCTTGTGCTTTGGCATCAATCAGCTTTTCTGCAGCACTGTAAGGAAGCAATTTTCCAGCTGGTTGGTTGCTGTATGAGGGAAAAAAATGTCTTTTCCAACTGATTTGGGTAGCAGGTCCAGCGTTTTAGAGTGGAAGTGTTCCAGTGGGACACTCACTTCAGTACTGTATCTCCAGAAACCTGCAGCAGAAATGAGGGAGATCAAGGGTCTTCAAAAGGTAATCTGTCACCAGTACCAATCTGGATCTCTGTGTGATGAAAGGAAAGATTGCTACTGCTCCTAAATGAAAGATTTATCAACTTCTTAACCAGCAGATGCAGACAAAATCATAAATATCATCCATTTTTGATTGGCAAAACCTCTCTTAGGTTATCTGGTCTTCAGTGAAAATATCCAACTGGAATGTTGCATCAATGGTTAATTTCTCTTATTAACAATGGTTTATACCCCCTGTTTCTGACCTGAATTTTTCTGTTTTTAATATCCAGTCCAAAATATTTGTTACACTTTTATCTTACTGATTGAAGAGATACAAACCCTTTTTCTTTTAGTCTCTATACAGAATTTAGTTTGGTTTTTTTCTGTTAATAAATTGCTTCCATTGAACTCTTCAGGTTCTCTCACTTTTAGGTGCTTTCCCATGTTAGTTTTTTTCCCCATTCTACCTCTCTAATTTTTACTGTCTTTACTAAAGTACATAACAACCAAAAGTGTAATATCAACCTGCTGAATACTCCTATAGAGACACAATCATCTCCCTATTCAAAGCTCTCCTATGTGTGTGCACCTAAATGATTGCATTTCCTGCACCATCACACTGGAGGTCTGTGTTGATTTACTTCTATTTTATGGCTCCTAACAGAACTGATCATTTGTTATTTACATGCTGTTTTCCAACAGACCTGGCACTTTGAAATTCACTTTTTTTGAGCACACCCAGCACAGGGGGCAATATCTAAAAGCTCAGCCCTGTCCAAATCCTGCCCTCCTCTGCCAGTTCCATGCTCCTTGCATGGTTCATCAGCCCTGCTTTTCCTTTCAGGGTATTGATGAAAATGTTGAATAGCAATGAGGCATTAAAATCACACTGTGATTTTAAGTGAAGAGCCCTAACAAAGAAAGCTGATTTGGTCAAATTGCAAGCACTTACCAATAGATGGTCAGCACTGAATGTGAGCATTAAATGCACTCCTGTCCTCTGATTGCCTCATTACTTGTACTCTTTTCAGCTTTGCCCAGGAGCTGCAGCCAGGCTGGCTTGTGAGGCTTGCCAGTTTGTCATTTCTGCAGGTTTGAAACGTTTGTCCCCAGTTGGTGCTGCCTTTTCACAGCTTTAAGGCACCAGGGACTGAGAGTCCTTTCTCAGCCTCTTCCCTTCCAGAGAGGGAGCAGATGGTTTTATGGAGCACTTGGTCCCTTTCTGCACCATTTTGAACAATGCCACCTCCCCTGCACAGGTTGACAGGAATTAAAAAGAACAAACAAACAGGAAAAAAAGCCAAAACGCCAAAAAAACCCTATATTTTAAAAATACTGGAGAGGAAGTTTTGTAGGCTAGGCAGTACACCATCTGTCAGCTCTTCTGTGTATAACTGGAGAGCCAAGCTCCACACCTGGACCATGAGGTTGAGTTTCAGAAACAGCAGAAGCTCAGCTGGGAGTTTGAGGATGGAGCTTGCAGGGAGCTCAGAGCAGAAATTCCCCAAAGCAGGATCCCACTGCTCCTGGGGAGGCTGGGGCTGTGCTGAGCTCAGGACTGGGGTGATGAGAGGGAGCTCTCCCACAGCTACAGAGAGGAGATTTGGGGGATCCAAGAGACTTTTCAGAAGCAGCATTTGTCCTCTCAGCTCGTGTTTTACTCAGGCAGGGATGGTGGCACTGCCCGGCTTGCTGTGGTGACTAATGAGTTTTTAATGCCACCTGCTGTAAACAGCTGGATTTAAATCAACCACAGGCAAAGGCTCTTTGGGCCACCAGCATTTGCTTTTTGCAGTGAGGGTGCTTTTATCTTTGGAGAAGCAGAAGGAGTGAGAAAGACAGGCTCTGGGTGTTGCTGACTGCCTGTTAATCCTGTGGGTTCTTCCAGATGTCACTTTGGTTCAGGTCAGCAGCAGGGTGTGACTTCCCACAGCCTCCCTGTGCTCCCCAGAACCTTGTGCTGGGTCACACCAGCCCTGGCCCTTGGTCTCATGTGACATATCCTGGACATTCACTGCCATGAAAGCACACCATCAATGAAAAGGTGCAGGGGGAAATCATTATTTGTGTATGAGATTCATGGCCTTAAACTGCAAGGATGCACAGGGATGGGCTGGGAACTTTTAAAATTAAAAGAACACTGCTTCAAGGATTTTATACTAAATCTCCTCAGCAGCATAAAAGGACATTTTCAAGATTAATTCTGGAGGATAGTCTTACTAAACATTTCTAAAGGGCCCTAAATTGTCTGTGCATTGCATTTGCTGCCTTCCTCAGTGATTGCTTCAGTGAAGTCAGTACCAAAGTGGAAGAAGCCTTTGTGAAAGCAGCAGTGACATCTTGTGGCCCTTTCCAAGAGACCTGATCTCTGTCCTGCATTCCCTGGCACCCAGGGCTGTGCTCCTCTCGCCTGCCCTGGCACAAACACACCAGACACAGCAGCAGAGGTAGACCAGGCAGTTCACGCCATTTTCCCCACTGTGCTCCTCAAAAATCCCCTGTAGTATCCAAATTATCCTACTCATATCTCCTTGGGAGGGGGTTGAGATCTTCACTGATTGAGATTTTCACTTTTGTGTCTCCACTCACTATTAATTTAACTCTTCTCTGGGCTCCTGCACCTTTGAATCAGGCAATCAGGGTGAGCTGTGCTCCCTCTCCAGTTAATGGAGAGGCGCCTCCCTCTAAGAGGGAATCCTCATGTTAAACACCAATTTTAGTGTTGTTTTGGAGGTTTTAGGGTTATTCTCGAGGCTGCTGTCTTTCTGCAGGTCACAGCTGGTGAGAGAGCCAGCAAGGGAGGGTGGCTGAGTCCCAGTTTAAAGTCCATGTGGAAGTAGAGCTGAGGGAGCTGGTTCAGAGGTGGATGTGGCAGTGCTGTGTTAAGGATTGGTCTCAGTCTTAGAGGTCCTTTCCAGCAGGAGTGACTCTGTTATGTGGGCTGCAAATAGAGCCAAGGATTTGCTGGCAGCTCCAGAACAAAAAAATCCCTCCTAACAGGGCTGTGAGGGGCCCTTTTTCCTCCCTTCCACCCAGGGAACAAGGGTGGTTACATTACAACTTCCCATGCAAAAGTTGTTCTTTGGACTGCAGGGTTTGGGCTTTTCCTCCTAGAAAGATGCAAGCTCAGTGAAAAGATATTTTTTTTCTTATGGAAAACCTATCAATGTAACAATTTATTATTTCTTTTCAGTGAAGCAACACAGTGAAGCAACATCTGAGGCTTTTAACTTGAATTTGACTTACAAATGTGACTCAAAAAATTTTTTTTATCTGCCATAATTTTTTTAAACTGAAAGATTGCAAAAAGAAGTGTATTTTCATTCTGATTATCTCCCAGGTTAAACAATGGTTTTCATATCTTTCAGCTAGTGTTCAAATGAGTTTGATGATGCTTTCCTGCTTGTGATATTCTCCTCCTGACAGCATCCTTTGGCACAAGTTTATCACTGAATTTGCTAATCAGCTGTGTTAGACTCTGTAACACACTTGCTTTCTTCCTTCAGCGCCTGTGGCACCCAAAATTACCTCTGTGGAGTATTACAACCACCTCCTGTATGTCACCTGGACCTATGGAGGAGATGGCCCTGACCTTTCTCATTCCAGGATGCTGCACTGGATGGTCGTTGCAGAAGGAAAGAAAAAAATCAAGAAGAGTGTAAGTATCAGTGTGGAAAGTGGGTGATGTTAATTTCTTTGAGGGCTTTTTTTTCCTTTTTTTTTTCTTTCTTTTTTTCTTTTTTTTTCTTTTTTTTTTTGGTGGGCTTTTGTTTGTTTGGTTTGTTTTCCTAAGTTGTTAAGTCAGTAAAACTTTGCCAACTCTGATAACTTTGTATTATATGTTATATGTTATATATGTTATATGTTATATATGTTATATGTTATATAATATGTATTACAAAGTTATCAGTTGTCAAAATTTTTCTGAGTTTACAACTATACATATATATTATATATATAATGTATATATATTATAAATATAATATATTGTATTCTATATTTTATGTATTATATATTGTATTCTATATTATATACGTTATATTATATGTTATATATATAACTTAGTTATGTAACTTTGATTACTGAGTTCCAGCAAGTTTGGTGTAAGCCAGTAAAAGTTACATCCCAGTGTTAGATCACTTTGAAAGACTTGAGTTCTCAAAATATCCAGTGGACAAAGTGTTTCTGTAGTGATCCAGTGAAGGTGTTGATAATTTATGTAATTTAAAAAGAGCTTAAAAACTTCTCAGCATCAGACAGTAAAACATAAAGAGTATTCTTATATATAGGTATGGTATTTTCCATTTTTATTTATTAATAAACAGAGTAAGCTACTGTCTGAGGTTTTTTGTTTGTTATAATACTGTCACGTCCCATTTTCTGACTTTATCTTCATAAATTCAGTGTTCTTCATTTTATGTTTGAATGCAAGTTCCAGTCATTGCTAGGGTGAGGATTTCATCCAGAATGTGTGCACTTAGAAAACTTGCTAGATGCTCAGGTGTGCTCTTGGTACCTTCTCTTGAACATTTGGAAAATTGGAAGTGTATTTTCTGCCGAAGTGCAAATTGATCTATAAACAAAATTTTAAAGCTTTAGGGATGTCTTTACAAATGTGTGTCTTTATATTCCTTGTAAGACAAGGGAACCCAGAGGGTATTCTTTAGGAAAATCCTGCAAAAACCTACCTATTTATAGCTAACTTTTATGGTTCTGTTCCTATGGATAAATATGAGTAAATATGCCAACATGTTTGCAGGCATCGGGGCACCTCTTCTTCCAAGCTCTGTTAGTCACTTCCAGGAACTGTTTCCTTTAAAACTCATTGTAATATCATAATTTGATTTTATTATCATTGCTAATATGGTTGGTTTTCTTGTGGCATTATTGAAATAAATAGGTAACAGTGTCAGATGATGCTGACTTTTTCTTCCTACTCCCTGTGTGTTTCCCAAGTCTCCACAGAAGTTGGTCAGTTTTTAGAGAAGTGATGAAAATTACGTGCAAAGCCCTGTTGGTCTTTATTCAGAACTGTCAGTTTCTCTTCCATCTGAAAGCTTCAGCCTGAGAATTAAGTGACTTTGACAAGCAGCATGAGATTCCTGGATGGGCCCTTTATATATAGTCCAGAAGTGCTCAGAAAACAATTCCCAGTTCTGCATCCTTCTCCATGACTCTGGAGAAATGGGAATATTACCCTAAAATGTTATTCTCAGTCTTTTGAGATTCAGCTCAGTTTAGGATCTGGTTTCAGACTTGCAGATGATTGAAGTCAGACCCTGAGACCTCTTGTCAAGTTAACAGGTCTCCAAGAGGCGTTAGCCTTGCCCAGATGGATTTAATTTTCAGGTCTGTAGGATGCATTAAGGCTTGCCTGCACATGGCCTGTGTGCTCTTCTTTGAGGTGTCTGACCTGATTTAAATTCCTCTAAAAATTGCACTGGACTCAAGTCCATGGCTTGTTTGGCATTTTGCACAACTGGAGAAGTCTAGATGCTCTCAGTGGTGTGAAGGAGAGTTTCTTTTTCCTTACATTTCCACTAGTCACATAGAAAGTGCAGCCTAAATTTGTCTTTTTTTTACATTGTGCTAATCTGGTTTCATGGTTGGTATCAGTGGGAACTGGTTGATGTCACCTGTTGCCCTGTTTTTTAAAGTTTTTCTAAGCATTCTGATGTTTACATTCTTGTAATGAACTTTCTCACACACTTCATGTAAATAACTTATTGGTTTGCATTATTTTATAGAGGAAGAGAAATTTGATAGACTATTGATTTGTCCAGTGTCATTGGAGAGGTGGCACTGTCATCCTCCAATCCACTGTCACTTTTGGACATCTGTAAATGTTGGAGCCAAAAATTAAAATTTCTCTTTTTACCTTGAGAGTAAAGTACCTCTGCATCGTGTTATTTCGCGTCCTGTAGTGACAGTCACCAGTCTGGAGCACACAGAAAACATCTGCTGTGGTGCACAGGAATTTCTCAGTAGTGTTTTGAGTGACCAGGTCAATTTTAGGAGTCAGTTGTGTGGTTTGTGTTGTGTTGAAGGTGGTGTCTTTGATTGTCCAGGTAACGCGCAGCGTGATGACTGCAGTGCTGAGCTTGCCTCCAGGGGACATCTACAACCTCTCAGTGACTGCTTGCACTGAAAGAGGCAGCAACACTTCCATGCCCCAACTTGTGAAATTGGGTAAGAACTGCTTGTTTGTACATTATTAACTCACCCCACTCGTTTGACTGTAAAGTGACCCTGGCAGCACCTTCCTTATTTCAGTTTTGTACCTCTGAGCCCATTTCTCTTGCAAAGCTGTAATTTTCACCTCACCTTGCTGTGAAGATTGTCTCATGCCTGTGTGTGAAGCTAATCTCCTAGAATGGTTTTGCTCAAGAGGAGATAAAGTGGCAAAATGTGACTGTAAGTGGATGTAGGAGAGTGGAAATCACGTAGTTCCTTGCTGAGAGAACAAGCTAACTTCATAGGTGCTTGCCTAAGGTCTTGAACACATGTAGGGCTTGAGGATGGCAACTCAGGCTTCACAGATGAACTTTTCAATGAAAAGCAGGACCTTCCTTTCTACCTTTCTGTTTCTGACAAGCCTATTTCTACACGTCTCTGTCACTTAGTCTGCTTTCCTGCCTCCCCTCCTCTCTCACTGGACATCTGCAAAGTCTTTCAACACCAAAAACTTACCCTTAAATACAAATTAATGACAGCACTCTTTATAAAAATAGTCAGATTTGTGGATGTGGACCCCAGCTTCATTTTGAGAGAAATATATGTAATATACTCATAGAAACAAAAGAAAACTTGAGAGTTTGATCCTCAGTGTAAGAGTTTCAAATATAACTTTCTACCTAATATCTTTCTTTACTTGAGAGGAAGATGGGACACTGCACCATTAGACCTTAAGAAATTTTAGTTCTCTTTTGAATGTATGTGGAGTTGTTGAGCCCTAGGTACCTAAAACCCTGAATTTTCCAGGTGTGCCCAACTGCTTTTACAGGAGTTATCTCCACTGAGAAGGTGGATAAGGAAGAGTTTGTAATTTCAGGGAGGATTATCTTCTCTACATGAATAATAATCCTTTTATGAGTCACTGCAAGAGAAGTGAATTTAAAGGACTCTATAATTTCTAATTGGATTAGAGGTCTAAAAAACAACCATTGTCCATTTATGTTTCTCAGCATTCTTACTGTGCTGAGGCAAACACAGAGACACAACAATATGAAGTTTTTGCAGGTCTTCTTACCAAGGGCAATATTTGAAAGAAGCAGGCAAATTCCATGAGTTTTCTTTGCCCTGTGCAAACCACATCCACTGCTTCCCCCATGCCTCGTGCCTGTGCAGCTCCCTGTGTGTATTTGCTCACCGAGTGTGTCAATGTGTGGGGTGAGTATTTCTCCCTGCTACCACTGTCCAGATGTTTTAGGGTGGTATTTCAAGACACCAGCTAGCTTTATCTTTCAGACAGATCCACAAGCCTTATTCATGTTGTGCACCCTGCAGCACAGCTGTATCTTCCTGTTCTTTCCTTGTGGATGGGCACTCTTACTGAAATTGTGTGGGAATTTTGCCCTTCAGTGTCAACAAAGAGAACGTGGAATGAATTCCATTTCAATTAATCCCTCCTTTGAGTGTGGTGTTTTTTTTGTTGGATTGAGTTTGATTTTTTTTTTCCCCTTTATGGTGTTTGAACTTTTGAATAGACAAAAGTGAGGATATTTTGCCAGAGGTTTTCCCTCTCTGTGTTTCTGAGGGGAGCAATGGGAGTTGTAATTAGCAGTAGTGGAAACTGACTCCAAGTGATAGACGACTCAGCACTTGGCAGTCACTTAAGCATTCCTGCCAAATGTTCTTCCCTCCACAATGTTTGCTTCATCCTGGCAGCTTTCCACCTGCAGAAAAATCAAGCCATTTGCTAGAAGCAAAAGGAGGATTTGCTTGGGACGCTGCCCAAATGCAAAACTCGTATTTTAATTGAGGCCATTTTTTTTACCTGGCGTGAGGGATGGAATGTGTTTCTGAGTCCATGAGCAGATATATGTGTGCAATTATGGGAGAGGGACACTTTCCTGCGTAGCCCTGGGACAATGTGTGCACTGCAAGCCCCGTGACACACGTGAATGTCCAACTCTTTCCATAATGCCAATATGGCTTGGGCAGGCTCCAACGCCAGAACACAGATCTGATTGTTTCAGGATCAGATACGTCTCCAAAATGTCTATAACTACTTGAGCAAGTCCCTTTGCCAAGGTTCCTGTGACAGCATCTCCCAGAATGAGGATAACAAATTATTTGCGAAAGGAAAAAGAATCAACGCAGAATGTTCTTGTGCATCATTGTATGCAGCGTGTCAGAATCCCAAAGTTGGGTTATTGTTTGAGAATTACAGCTTTAATTAAACACCCACAGAATAGGAGATCTGAAAGCTGTGCAGAACAACTCAGAAATGTATAGCCCAAATTTTACAGTCTCTGAAGGCAAAGCAGAAGAGCCCAGGAGGCTTGAGGTGTGGAAAGCTAGGGATTTCCATTACCCATCATGGGAAGTCATCAGGATGAGTATCAGGATTAAACATTAAATAATTAAACAATTATTTAATGTTTAATAATTAAACAGTTTAGTTTTTTTTTTTTTAACTGGTAATTGGCTAAATATTTTCTCTGCTGCAATTAAAGGAACCTAGGTAGCCTTTTTTCTTGTGGGAAGCTGCTTTATAGTCTCCTGGTCAGACCTTTTGAAGAAAAGCCTTCTCAGGCCAAATATGCTGCTAACAGGTGGACAGTGATCTTCTCTGAAAGAGTTCCTCCTAACAGTGTTCTATTAATAGAATCCACAGATCATCCTCAAACAAGGGCTCTGCTGAAAAAGGAAGTGAAGTAATTATCCATCTGTCCAAATAGAGAACGGTTTAAATAGAGAAGAAAAACCAACACACTTCATCATCTTCCCATTTTACAGGGGTAGTTTGTCATCATGAGAGGATTTACATTGGTAGACTTTATCTGAAGGAAATGAAAGATAGCAGGGCATCAGGCATTGCTTTCAATTTTTTCATTTTTCTCAGTTGTCTGGAAACTTAAAGATAAGCTTAATGAAAGGAGATTTTTCTCTTACACCAGAACCAGCCCCTCCAAAATCACTGTTTGCTGTCAACAAGACTCAGACCTCTGTGACTCTGCTGTGGGTGGAAGAAGGAGTAGCTGATTTCTTTGAAGTTTACTGCCAGCAGGCTGGATCTGGCCAGGAAACAAAAGCCCAGGTATGTGTCTCTCCTTTGGTGTCTTCATCCCAGAATTAAACTTGTAAAGCTAAACTACTAAAGCTATGCTTCAAATACTAAAATATTTTCATTGTTTTGTAATGTTAAGATTGGCCTCTGTCTTATTGATGAGGTTATGTGACTGGTTGGAGAGAAATTGTGGGCATCCAACACTGCCAGTGGAATTGGCTTCACATGGGAATGGGTCTGATAATATAAAAATAAAATAAATTATTATTTAACAATACTATATTATATTTAAGAGTGCCATAGTAAACTATACTAAAGAATGTAGAAAGGATACTTACTCAGTGCTGGAAGGATAATAATGAAAACTGTGCAAAAACTAACAGGCCACAAAACTAAGAGAATGCCAGTGAGCAAGAAGGGGAAATTAGTCAGGTAGCTTCATAAAGAATGGGGAAAATATACATATTTAAGTGCCATAAGATTTCTGATACATTATCTAATTATTTCTGGAATACTGTATTTCTGGTTTTGAGATCTGTTAACTGAAGTTCAGTAGGAGCTTCCTTGATATTCCAAGAGTACCTTTATGCAAATGTGGCTGCTCCTCATGCAGACAAATTTTAATAATAATAAAAATAATTTTAAATTATTTTTACATCAGGGTATTGTCTTCAAGACCCACCTCCTGAGCCTCACACATGAGCCTCCTTTTCTCTCTGTCCAGTCAGGTACCTGTGCTCAGCAGCAAATTTAAATATAAAGTATTTAAATGGGCAATGCTGTTCAGTGAAAAAGAGAGAGCAGTAGTAGTTTTAATTCCTTGTCCTTCAATGCTGTGCATCACGTGAGGTTTACTTTGTGCTTTAGCTGATGGTATAATAAATCACTGTGATTACCTGCCACAAAACATTATTCTCATGTGCACTGTGACACATAATGGGGAATCATTGAGAAAGAAGTGAAAAATTACCTACTTAAACCACTGATTAACATGTGGAAAAGACCTGCACACTCTTAAATCCTATGGAAGATCAGTCTGAATTATTTAATATTCTTTTAAATGGAGACAGACAATGACTAAAGGGGAAAAAAATGCTTACATGCACTTTAATCTTTTGGATCATTTAGATTCCACCTCTAGATTCCTGCTTTTTCATGCTGAATAGTAAAGGTTGTGAATTTCTCATATTTGCGGGGTTCCCAAACAAAGGAAGGAATTATGAATCTGACTCCATGTTCTCAGAAGGCTAATTTATTATTTTATGATACTGTATTATATAAAAGAATGCTATACTAAACTATACTAAAGAATACAGAAAGGATACCTAGAAAGCTCAAAGATAATAATGAAAACTCCTGACTCTTTCCAGAGTCTGACACAGCTTGGCCCCAGTTGGCCAATGAGTGAAAACAACTCACATGAAACCAATGAAACAACCACCTGTTAGTAAACAATGTCCAAACACATTCCAAAGCAGCAAAACACAGGAGAAGCAAATGAGATAATATTGTTTTCCTTTTTCTCTGAGGCTTCTCAGCTTCCCAGGAGAAAATCCTGAGCAAAGAGATTTTTCAGAAAATTTGATGGTGACAGTGAAGTCATTATCATCACTTACCAGAGATTCAATATAGTGATGGGATCAGGCACAGAAAGTACCAGAGGATTTGCAACTTCAGTTGAGAGCAAATCTGTTTTAAGAACATCAGGAAAAGACTGCTAAATCTGGCAGATGGTTCAGTGGGTGTCTCATTGTTGACAGGAACATCTGGCACTGGATAATGCAGAGATTGTCAGCTCACTCCTCATTAGACTCATCATTCTCTTTTCTGTCTCCATGAAAAACTGGGAAGGGCTCCTTTCTGAACTGTAAAAAGGGATGCTTTCCAAGTAGGCTGCTGGTGAAAATTCTTTGTGATTTTCCATGCTAGTTACATGAGCATTTTTGTCCCTTCCCTGCATCTTTAAATCAGTGAAATGAAAAGCAACAGCTTTCTGATTTGGAACATCTTGGATTTGAGTTGACTCATTTAAATTTCCCAGAGGGGAAAATGGAAACATGCAACCAAGTATGATTGCCAAAGTGTGGCTCCTCCTTTTAGCTCAGGCAATGAAAGTCTCCTCCTTTTACACTCATGTGATTTCATCTACACAATGTACCTCAGAACTGCTCTGCAACAGGAGTTTAGGATTAGCCATGGCTACAACAAGCTCTTGGAAATATCCAGTGCTTGGTACCTGTTGCAGCACCTTGCATTCCCCATCTAGAGTGGGTTCATTCATAAAACTTCTCCTTCTCTCCCTTCTAAACCACTGGCTCAGTGTCCCTGTTTTTACAAGTGTAACCCACCCCTGGTTCTGCTGGACAGTCCAGAAAACAGAGGAGCTTAAGGAACTCTTTTTTTAACTCAATGAATGTTGTTCTTGCTGTTTTCTCTTGCTCTATCAGCATTTAAAATCCACAAAAGAGTTCACAAGGGTCATAGTAATTAACACATTGCATAAATGTGGTATGTAGAGTTTCTGCCAGCTAGAAAAACTGAGGTGTAGAGTGTTTGATTATAATTATTACCAAAAGACTTTGCTCTAGCTTTGTTTTTTACCTTGGCCACTCAAAAGGGCTCACAGGTCTCCACACCCAGAGGAGCTGGCTCAGAGGCAGAGATTTCATGCATTCAAACCAGAATTGTGATTTCATTCATGGCAGAGGTTGTGACTGCCTTGGCTGTTCTTTGAATAAGAATAACTTGGTTTTCCGCCCACCTGCATGGCTTAGCAACCAGAGCTCATGAGCTGTGTCCACCTCTGGGATGTCCTGGAGGTCTCAGTGCTTTCCCCTACCACTCATGTGCCTGATTCACCCACTCTGGGCACGTGTCCTTCCGTCCCCAAAAGGCTCTGGGGTCCCTGGAGTGCTCTGGGGTGTTCTTGCAGCTGCATTCAGCCCTGTTCCTCTGCCCTTTTCTGCCAGACAATCTGCCTGCTGTCCAAGGCAGGTCCTGGTTGCCTTTCCTGTGTTTCAAAGTGCTGATTTCTTCCACCAGATCTGACTTTACCTGTCAGATAGACAGAACACTGATTTGTGCTCTGACATTTATGAGAGACACAAACTCCTGTGTGTTTTTCCTCGTGTCTGCAGGAACCTGTCACTGTCTCCTCACACGTTGTGACCATTTCCAGCCTGACCCCTGCCACCTCCTACAACTGCAGCGTGACCACCTTCAGCCACAACAGCCCCAGCATCCCCACCTTCATTGCAGTTTCCACCATGGGTGAGCAGCACTTCCCTGCTTTCTTCTTCTTCCTCATCCAGCTACATCTGTTCCCCTGTTGTATTTGCATTCCCCCAGATGAAGGAAGGAATGATGAATCAGACTCCATGTTCTCAGAAGGCTAATTTATGATTTTATGATACTATATTATATTCAAGAATGCCATACTGAACTATACTAAAGAATACAGAAATGATACAGACAGAATGCTAAAAAGATAATAATGAAAACTCGTGACTCTCTTCAGAGTCTGACACAGCTTGGCACTGATTGGCCATTGAGTCAAAACAATTCGCATGAAACCAATGAAACAATCTCCAAACACATTCCACATGAGCAAAACAGAGGAGAAGCAAATGAGATAATTATTGTTTTCATTTTTCTCTGAGGCTTCTCAGCTTCCCAGGAGAAAATCCGGGGTGAAGGAATGATGTTCAGAGAATGTGAATGCCACATTCTCCCTTGCTTTCTAAAGCTGCTCTTTGTAATGCTGGCCCCAGGGGTTGTTTGTATCATAAAAAGGCTGCCAGGTGTGGATGGGATGGGGGAGAAGCTTTGGGAAGCCCTTAGAAAAGGCCCCACTTGGAAAATACAGACTAGGGGCTCAGTTCTGCACTGGGTTTTAGAAATCAGGGATGGAGTTTGTGGTGTCAATACCAACATCAACTACTTTATGATTTTTATGGAGAAAAATGTTTTCTCAGCCAAGCCCAAACAAGAGGAAAACCACATTCACAAGCTTTTAAGGCTTCCTGCATTCAGCAAAGAAGTGAGAGAGAGGAAAGGTCTCTGCAGGATGCTCAGCAGTCACAGCCAAAAAGCTCCTGAGGGAGGATCCCTGGGCATGTCATTTTCCAGAGTAATTAAGCAATTTCCACCCAGGATGTTGCAAATCCCCAGTTTATTATTTTGCTTCTGGGTCAGAAAAAGCATTGATTATTGTTGAAGAATAACTTCAGAGTGGAAATGTGCTTTGGAGACATAGATGATGATGAATATCTGTATTTTGTATTACCTTCACCGTTTTCCCTTGTGTTATAAATGTCAGCTAAAGAGGAAAAAAATAATAAATCAGAACATGTTAAAGTTTAACAAAAATGCCAGGGTGAAGGCATTTCCCCAAAGAAATTTTCGAAGAGCAATAGCTACTCAAACTCTCCCCTTATCTCCTGTGGTAGATTTTTCTCTAACACTCCAAGCTCTTTGAGATAAGCTTAAAAAAATAACATTATCAAAACTCAGGGGAAAACAAAACCAAGGAAAAATGCCAATGCTTCTGAACTGAGTAACTGAGAGCAATTTTCTCTATGTACAGTTACTGAGATGAACCCCAATGTCGTGGTAATCTCTGTGCTGGCCATCCTCAGCATCCTCCTGATTGGGCTGCTGCTGGTCACTCTTGTTGTCCTCAGGAGAAAACACCTACAAATGGCAAGGTAAGTGCAGATTTATGCTAATTACAAAAAAAAAAAAAAAAAAAAAAAAAGGCAAAAACCAACCCAAAAAAACCCAACAAAACAAAAGCACCCAAAAAACACCAAAACCCCCCATTCAGACACTGACAAACATTGTGACAATAGTTTCAGCTGAGAATGCTTTTGTGTGGGTGCTACTTGAGGTGCTTGTTGTGTTATTTTTAGCAGGGTGTCTCCAAGAGTTGTTTTGCTGCTGTTGACCACATCCTCTCCTTGTATCTATTTTCACTCCTGACCTGACTGACAAGCCTCAAGCTTTGTCTTATTTTGAGGTTTGCAGGATCAAGTCCATAAGTGCAATTCCATATTACAAAAGGGTGTATCAGGGACATTAATGATAATTAGGTTCTGAGGCAAATGGGCATGAGCTGGAAATCAAGGTTCTTTGCAAGTCTTTGATATGGTTTGGAACAGGAGATTTTTTCCATACCAAAAAATAACATTTTCTAGAAGGTCTCTCTCTCATCATTTGCCAGTCTGCACCAATCATTTGTGCCTGAATATTGGAATTCAATTTCCTTTTCTAGGAGATCTTACCTGCAACAGTTCACTTTAATGTGAGTTGTTGTGGCCTGTGTGAGCTGTGGAAGTTTCCCCAAACCCTATATATTCTGTGTGTATATATATATATAAAATTGCTTTACCTACTAGTTTTGAAGGTATCACAGAGTCTTTGTCTTTTTATAATCTATATAATATATTTTATATTCATTTATGGTACTGTGTCAAGAAAGGAGATTATTTAATGTAAAAAATCTTATGTAAAAAATCTTGTGCTTAACAAGATGCTGGATTTTGTGTGTTGTGTCTAGTCTATATATTCCATGCAATAGATGACCACATCACACATATGTTTCAAGTTATCTTTTTAAGAAAACATAATGTAGTTTGTTCTTTTTGCATGCAATTGGCTCTGAAATTCCCAGCTAAATTAATTCTTTTCTATTTAATTACTGAGCAGCCAGCCCAAAGCTTTTTCTCTTCATCACTGCTTCTAGCCACAGAACATAAACACCCCAGAAGGAAATTTTAAAAATAAATCCAGAAAGAAGCTGGAAGCAATTGTTTGCTTAAATCAAGAAAATAGTCAAGTTAGTTTATAATTCATAGCTGAAAATAATAGACTTGTGATAAGGACACTACTAGAATGTTATTCAGAATTTTATTTTTTTTCCTTACAGTTATTTTCATGATTCAAAATTACCTATAATTATCCTGTAAAAGGGATATAATTAAAGAACTTCTCCTTGGAGTGGGAACAATGAATATTTAGTATAGAAAGGTAAATATTGAACCTGTGCGCTGAGGCCACTGTCATGCTATGGAAAGCACAAATCTGGACAGAAGATAAGGTCTGTTTGAGAATTTCATTCTTTTGAAGCATTTTGAGGCAATTTGATCTCAGATAGTGTTGAACATTTATTGGTTTTAGACAACCACATTAAAGGATTCTAGTTATGTTCATTTAACATTATCTGAGACCAAGTCACAGATGAGTGTTTAGCATTTCCCTGCAACTCCAAAGGTGAAATTTTTGTTAAACCAAGCTCTTTGCAAGTGTTGTGAATCCAAAAATAATAACTTTTTACCTAATGGTCTTCCTGGAACAGGGAGTGTGGGGCTGGGACCTTTGTGAATTTTGCATCTTTGGAGAGAGATGGAAAGCTCCCCTATAACTGGTGAGTCCTTGAAGCAAAGCTTATGTTTTCTTCCCCATCTCTGCTTTTTGGCAAATGTTATCTGTAATCTTAGTGCTTATTTTTTATGTCATTGCTGTCCCTCTTTAGGATAAAACTACTAGGCTTGTTAATTTTATATTTTATCCCTTGAATGTATTTTATTTCTTGAATGATCACTGAAGACATGCATTCTGTCACCTGCTATTTTTAGTAGGCAATGATGTATTTGCATGTCAGCCAAATTTCATGGATGTGTTTGGGGAGGATTTTTTTTCCCTTTCTCTTACAGACGTATTTCCTAAAATAACACAACTGTAGAAACTTGATCTATAAATTCATTAGCACTTCCATGTATTTGCATCCAGGAGTAAGCTTATTTGTAGATAACTAATTACCAACTGTCCTCATACAGTGGTTTAATAAATATTTCCTTATGTTACAAGACAAGGGCAAGCCAGCTCAAATATATAGTGTAGCCTGATGTTCAGTGCTGTTGAAAAAAATAACAAAAAACTCCCTAAATATATCTTGCTAGTCTAGAAAATCACTTGCAAGAATTGCAGGCACTGATATGGACTGTAAATCATCTCTGGCATCATCAGCTGAAGAGGAGTATTTGAACAAAGAAAATCTGTGGGATTAGCTTTTATAGAAGTAAAAGGCTCTGAGAGCCACCTGAATGGCAGTGTGAATCTGTCACCCCTATTTTCATCATCATCCCTATTATGATAATCAAATAAATGGTAATGACAGAGCCAAGGTTTACTGTACTGTTGTTAGCAATCTCTGCAAAAACCTCTTCTCTTTCAAGGCAAGTCCAAGCACAGACACTAAAAGGATGACATCAGCCCCATTCCAGTAGGCCAGGAGAAAAAAAAAACTTAAAAAAATGCCTTTACACCCATGGTCAGCTCTGCTGACAGCTGAGAAGTTGGAAAGAAAAGTTGGTGCACAGGGAATTTCTTTCCATGACCTCACAGGACACAGCCTGCCAGCCAGGCTGGGATTAACTGGATCACACTGCACCACCACAAGCCTTTTGCTAATAAGCTGCAAACTGAACTAACAAGCCCAGCAAATCTTGTCAATATCTCACTGTGCTGCTAATTAACTGGATATTAAACAAGCTTCACTTGCTTGGTTTAGCTTTAAAAGCAGCCAGCTGTGTGCAGTACAAATGAAACCATCCCTCTGCTTCTCTTGCTTGGGCTGTATTAATGGCAAAAAAAGTCAGAAGATCAAACACTCATGTTAATTAAATAGCCAAGCTTGAATGAAATTATTGAACTAGCAACAGATGTTATTAAAACCATAAAAGGCTCTTTTTTCTTTTTTCTTTTTTAATGGGAAGGGAATTAATAGGTTTGGATGTGAAAGTGAAGGTTCTTTCTTGATTTAGCATATATATGTATGTCAGTGTGTATATGCATATATGTATACATACATAAATTAAGTTATGAAAATATAAACTGAGGAAAGCATTCCTGCTTAATATCTCCACAAACTTTGGTACCTGAAGGCAGTGTGTCCTTATCTAATGGTCCTTATTTCTCTGAGAGTTGTTTTGTGTGCCTCTGTTGTCTAATGTCAAGAGCAGATTCACAATCCATGAAGGCAGACAAGTGGGAAGTTCAGCCCCAAAAACAGAGAGAAGGATTGGCTCATTCCAGGGATCCAGTCAGGGAGCCACGGGCATATCCACTAATTCCCAAGGGAAGCTCAGCTGACTTTTCAGGGTTTGAGCAATCTCTGCATCTCCTCCTTTTAATTAAGTTGTTCTGTAAGCCTGAGCAGGATGTGAAGGACTACACGATTGCAGAAGAAAACAGTATTGTATTTATTAGGCAATTACACATTTTTCATATGTTATATAAAATAAATTGCTTTAGCTGTCAGAGCTCCTCTTCTGTGAATATAAATCAGTTTGCAAGCATGTTAGCCAGTGATTTGATAAAGTGTGGAAAATTATTGTGAGGATTGGCAATGAAATAAGCCCAGGCTTGAATAATTCCTTCTGCCTCTGCAGGCAAGAGGAAGTAAAAGCCTCACGTGGAGCTTCTCAAAGGAAGGAGAAGTATTCCAGCAACATCATCACTTCTCTCTCCAGAGCCTAATGGAAACCTCTGTGGCACCAGAGATCTGTGCCAAATTTTATCCTCAGTCCAGCCCCATAGAAATTCAAACAACAAATGAGCCTTAAGGGTCTGATATTGAATTCAGAGTGACCCCAACACAGTGAATGGTTGGCATCTGACTCCATTGACTCAGAATTCTGAACAAATGCTTTATTAAAATTATATTACATTATACTATACTATACTAAATTACATACTAAAGAAAACTCTTGACTGTCTCCTGACAGGACACAGTTTTGAGTGATTGGTTTATTCATATAAACAACCATCACCTGAGTCCAGTTATCAAATCCCTTTAAGTACACAATCTTCCTAACACATTCCACATGTGCAAAAACAACAGGAGCAGCAAGTAGAGATAAGGATTGTTTTTTCTTCTTCTCTCTGTGCTTCTCCAGGAAAAACCTGTGAGAGAGAATTCTCTCTCTCTCTGTTCAGAGGATGTGAATGCCACAGTCTGATTCTGCATTATTGTGGTGTATGATTGACCCTCTTGCCTCTGGCTGAGCCTCACAAATCCTACAAAGCCTGGGGCAGCTGCCCTGCAGAAACTGCACTGCCCATTTCCTCTGCAGCAGAAAAACCCATTAAAGCATAACTTGGAGTTTTCACTGCATGGGCAGAAGATTTCCTCACTGGCTGGAAGATTGAGATTAGAGATGATTCAATTTGATTTGATTTATTTATCAGGGAAAACACAGTATCTACCAACTTCATAAGAGCCAAGGGTACTGAACAAGGAAATTTAACTTTGTGTTTCCTCTTTAGAACAGCTGCAGAAGGGTGGTATCACTGTTTAGGCAGCAGATTTTCTTATGGGGGAAAAAAACACCATGAGGGTCTATTTGAGTAAAAAAAACAAACATACATTTTACTGGAGCCAAGTTTGTTTAAGTTCCATGAGTTTTTCATATTTGCAAAATACTTGAAGCCTATTTCACCAATAGATAGAACAGGATTGAGTGGGTTTCCTGAATTAATGCACGCAGAACCAGCTTACAAGTACAGGAGTTTAGAATGATTTTGTACTCACATTTCCTTTAGCCATAGTAAAATCTGCTGTAGATGGTTATTCATAGAAAGCAGAATTAGAAGAACTGTTCAAGCAATGTTTAGATGAAAACCTAGGAAAGAATTTAAAGCATTATGCAAAGTATTATAGGGATGCCTTGAGAAATCTGACTCAATAGAGGGTATTAAGAGATGTTGGAAGCATCTGAATTTATCTCTGATATAGATCATCTGATATCCACAGGATCACTTGCAGGAACAAACATAGGAGATTATGTATGTGATAAAAACAAACCAGGTCAGTACTGAATATCTCAAAACATTGAAAGTAGGCTTAATACCACCAATGCAATGGCTGGAAATCTTCAATGATGTTTTCCTACCCACTTTATTCTCTGAAAATTAGGAATAACAGGCCTTAATCAATATGATAAGACATAATTATTTTAACCACATAGAATTTTGTGTTGGATAGCTGAAAGTCCTATAGGTTGAGGAGGAAAAAAATCTAGGGATGCTAATAATATTGTTAGGAAGTAAGTAAGAAGTGGAATTTATCAGGTTTAGCTGATTTTTAAAATAGAATTTGCTGATCTCCTGATTTCTGTTTGTCTTACTAACTCTCCTCACTTTTTCATCTTTATGTATGTTATTTATTAATGCTCACAGGCGTAGAAGTGTATTTGCTTTCCTAACTCTGCTACCCTCATGCCTTTGGACTGATTATCTTTTGGCATTTTATGTTAATCCTTGGTAAGTGATTTACTTGTTTTTCCATATGCAATGTGTAAGCAATGTGAATTTCTATGACATGAAAAATGTGTGGTACCTTTGTTCTCAAACGGGTCAAAACTTTTGGAGATAAAATTTTGCACTGGAACATGGACTGGCGAGGATGTGGGTATCAAAGTATTTGCTACCCTGCTTCATCTGGTTTGTCTGCTTATTCTCCAACCCATTTTGGTATTAAACAGCTAATCTTAGAGCGGTCATCATATCCATCTCATTGCTGTCTTTGCAATTTTTGCTGCTTCATGAAAAGTCCTGGCTTCTTCTGTCCTGGTTATTTACATGTTCATTGCCTGGCACTGACTTCTGCTGCTGCTGTTCTATTACTAAAACTGCTTGATTGTACCCCACCTGTTTGGTGTGTGATGTCAAATACATTTGTTTTTCAAAGGTGCTCTTATGCCCTCCTGATGTCAGTAAAAGTTTTGCTTTTGAAATAAAACCAGTTCATTGAGAATGGATAAAACTAGGAGGCCCAAAGAGTAAAAATAGAGTCACTGTGTGCACATATTGTGTATGTGGGTATATTTAATACTGTGGGTATATTTATTACTGTCCATAAATAATTTATAAGGATTTAGTAAACACCTGATTGTTTTCTTCAAAAACTGAACAAAGCCACTCCTCTTAGAACCAGAATTGTTTTACAAGCCATTTAACAAATAATTATAATTAACTATGACCCAAAATTGCCTAATTAATATAAAGTTAAGAAACTTAAGTTCCTGATGCTCTTGGATCCAAGTTTTAGGGTTTTACAAAAAAGGTGGTCCTGAGGTTAAGATTTTATTTCCCAAACATTTTCCCTGCTCTTACCATGAGGCACCAAAGTCCTGGTAGGCAGCCATCAGCATCTTCAGCACAGGGATTTTTGAGACTGATTTTCCATGAGTTACAGTGAGTCTGTAGAAAAACCCATCCACATTTTCAGTGGGCCTTGAAATGTGAGTTAAAGCAACACAGAATCTGAAAATGATAAGAGCTAAAACCTCAGGCATCAGGTGGTTATTTTGGAAGTCACACTCAGCTCTCTCAGCTGGTCATAAAGCTCAGAGTGGACACTGTGAATGGCACTGCTGCAAAAATGCTGTTATCTTTTGTCCCTCTGCCTTTTTTCTTTTATTATTCATTCGTTCACCTCTCCAGATGCCTATCTTTCTTCAGAGGTTTCCCCTTCAATCAATCTACCTATTTCAGTCTGCATGATTAAGTTTACAGGAGCTGAAGTGGAATGAGATGAGATTAATCCCTCTCTTTGTATTTTAATATGTAGACTAAATGGAATAACAGATGAAACACCAGCTCATGTTTCAAATGTTTTTGTTTTGCACATAAGCTGGCTTAAAACATTTATGAATGTTCAGGAAACAATTGCAATGCTAAGAAACAAAGGCCTCTTGAGACTATCAAAGCACACAAAATTCTTGCTGAGAAATGTTTGTCAATCATTTGTTTTATTGCCTCTTGAAGTGTTCCTTGGAGAAGCGTTCTTAGAGGCATTCCCATCATAAAGAGCTATTAAGAGCTAAGACATTTAGCTATTTTTTTTCCTTTTCAAATTAATTCTTATGTGCCTGACATTAAAAGGTTTATTTACCACAGTCACAGGGGATAGAGGTGTGTTGAATAATTTAGTGGAATTAACGTTAAGATTTCACTGGGAAAAAATCTTCGAAGATGGAAAATAAATACTACTAGTTTAGGTGTTCAGTATATATGAATGTACAGATAATGTGATAGGCTGAAGAGGTTTATGATATTTAATCTCCACATTAATATAAAGCTGGTATTGCCATAGCTCTTGTTAATTCGGCAGGCAAAGATCCTCATCTAAATGGAAATATACTTTCACAAAAATAACAAAATTACTGCAGGTTGTGGCTGCTTCAGAAACTCAATATTTTGTAAAATTAAATTTTGGAAAGTAGCCCTTTATTTGTTTTTAGTGTAGCTTCTAAACAAGGTAGAAAAATAAAAATACCCTGCTTTTTATTATTTATTTCTGTATAATTTCATTATTTAGAATTTAAAAGTCTTGTCCTTTAATTTACTAATTGAAACAGTGAACCAAGTGATCCAGACGTAATTTTCATATCACCATGAAATTTAAAATAGCATCATTATAATGTGAAAAAATAACAGATATTGTTTAATGCCCAGGAATTAAAAACTGGCACTACTAAAATTCCTTCTGAGTGAGCAGTAATCTCTTTGAGCTCTGTGGCTGATTGAACAGAAATCAATGTTTTTAGACCTCTAGCAGTAATTCCAGGGTGTTTGTTTTGTCTATTTTTTTTTCTTTTTTTTCCTTTTTTTTTTTTTTTTTGTTGCTTAACTTCTTTTTGGCAACAACAAAATGAACACAAAAATCCACCCCGTGGTCGCTGGTGTAGGGCAGTTCTTAAATCCAATTCTTTGGGTTTTGCTGCTTAACACACTCAAAAACCTGCTTACAACTGTGGCTAGTGAATTACACCAGCCATAAATCATTGTTTAACATGACTGGCACAATTATCTCCAGCTGTTTAAAGTCAATTAAATTATCTAAGGTTTAAGCTGGAGTCCCGCTGAGGTCAGTAGGATATTTGCCATTGGCTTCATTTATCATCATAAGCAGGTTAGGAGACAGACCCTTTCTTTTTTCCTTCACCTTCCCCTGAATTTTCCAGTGGTTTTCTTGTCCCTTTACCCAGCAGATGCTTCTCATTCCCAGGTGCTCTCCAGGGCTGACATCCAATTTTCCAGGCTCAGGCCCTGGGGACTCAGCCCCAGCCCACCCAGAGCCAATGGGTCAGGATTTATGGGGAACCCATGGATTTTTCTGGGCATAGATTTTCCTTTCCAATGGCAAATCCCATTCCCAGAGCCACAGAATGGGATGTGCATCCCACTGGACTCAACAGAAATCTTGCTATCAGCTTAAAAATGTTATAAGTTATTGTCACCAATCTCCTTCTGAGTATGATGAAAAAATACACATTCTTAAATCAGTGCTGTCTTTGAATAAAGGTTGTACAGCTGTTTAATGAACTTTTAATTCATAAGTATGAATTTTAAAACTTCTTTTTTTTTTTTTTTCAGGAGTAAAAATGGGTTAAAGAAGAGAAAGCTGACCAAGTATGTAACAACTTTGATATTTAAAGGAATAAGTCTTAGACTAAATAGGCATCATGGCATAGTGGTATTTCACTTACAAATACAGAAAACTTCTTGATAGACATATCCCAAGAGAGATACCTGAAAGCAGAAAACAAACACAAATTGGACAAAAACGATTCTGCTCAACAGATTGCAGTAAAACATACAAAATCAGTCAGCAGGGAAAAGATCAATTATCCAACTTAGTGATTTCAGCAGAGCTTATCTTTAGCTAAAAACTGCAAATGGTGAAAAATCTGGGATGCATTTGTTTGCAGTGACATTTCCCTGTTGACATGGGGCTCTCATTACAGTTGTTGCTAGAACATCAGATCATTAATGCTAGCGGGTAAACAGGAGTAATTAAGTGGTGATAAGACAGGTTCCTATGGGCATATTGCCTCCAAGTAAATGAGAAGATTACTGTGTACATGCTCCAGTAGCTTGTAAATTAGAGTATGATAATTAGGAGAGGGGAGCTGTTTACCTGTGTTTCGTTACTCACAGCATCAGCCTCATTATTTCTGTGTTGTGTTCAGGGGCTGTGCCTGACTAACAGATAGATCTCACCTGGCAAAAAAAATGTGTGGAAAGAGGGGAGTCATTAAATCAAGGCTAATTCCTACCTACTGAAGCCCTCCATGGTTTTGTATGCTTATAGACCACCTTTTTTTAGACACTGTCTCTCTATAATTACAAATGTGTGTAGTTGTCAAAGCCAGCAGAGAAAGCAGTCAGGGCAGTATCCAAAATGTAATACACTCACAATTTTGTGGCCCTGAACCAGAAAGTTTGTCCTTATTTCTCTCTAGCATTAACAGCTGCAAATAGATATTTATGACTTGAAAGTATTCTGGGGGAAAGAAATGAAAGGTGCTACAAAAATCAGATTTTTTAACCTAATTTCTCTGTATTTTTCTTTTGAAGCCCAGTCCAGCTGGACGATTTTGATGGATACATCAAGGATATGGCCAAAGACTCAGATTATAAATTTTCTCTGCAATTCGAGGTAAAACTCTGAGGATTCTTGCCCAGATCAGCTTTTTCAAGATGTTTAGCATTACGTGCTTCTGTGTTGGTTGATCTGAGCTGTTGCTGGGTGGGCCAGCTTCACTTCCTCCTAATTCTGCAGAATTTAGAAGTGGAGCTTGGTGTTGTTAAATCCTGCATTTATTGAGCTGATTGGAGTGGCTTCTCACATTCAATCTGAGTTAACTGTCAGAAAAAACACACTTGCTTTAAGTTTAGGTCATGCTGGCAACCTGAATTGAATTTGGGATTTAATGGCTTTATTTTATATATTTAATGTCCTTAATTTGAGAGGAAGCACTGAAATCAGGAAGTAGCATCAGAAATCTCTATAAGAGCAAGGACATTTCTCTCAGGCAAGTTCAGGTGCACTGTCTTAAAGTCAGTTTAGTAGTATAAAACTAATAATAATAATAATAGTAATAATAATAATAATAATAATATAAAAATAATAATAATAATCCCCATCCCTATCCTGGGGCTGCTTCCCAAAGATTTAAGATGGAAAATCTTCCCAAAGATTTAAGTGGGGAGCACTTGGTGTTTCCATGATCCCTTCCTGACAGCAGATTCCCCTGATGCACCATATATTACATGTGACTACTGAAGATGATGACTAAAAAGATCTTCCAAGCATTTTCCCCAGGACTAAAACCCACTTGAGGATTTCAAGAATCCTCTCTAAGGGGGGCAGATGACCACCACAGAAATAACTTAGCCAGCCCCTGGTTTGACAGGATTTTTGGTTTGACAGTGAGTGTGGGTAGGGAGGAGCAATGCTGAGTCCCAGCTCTGGGATGGCATCAATGTGTTGGCAACATCAGGAGGAGAAACCCCAGCTCTGCTCTCCAGCTGCTTGGAGCCCAACTCATCAAAAACAGACAATATGTCATCCTGCTGTCAATTTATAAAGTGATTTATGAGCGTTTTCTGTCTGCTACCTGCCACAAGTGATCACAAGGGTGATCCCTGAGTGTTTTTGAGGCTGACCTTGGCATTTTCCTTTCTGTCATCTCAGGAGCTAAAGCTGATTGGGCTGGACATCCCCCACTTTGCTGCTGATCTCCCCATGAATCGCTGCAAGAATCGCTACACAAATATCCTGCCCTGTGAGTGCAACACACTAAATCCTGCTGAAATCCCCAGAGAGGGAAAGAAGAGCTCCAGTAAGAAAATTGGAGAATCAGGAGATTTTTGTAAGGCTGGTAAAAGCCTGTTACAATCCTGCTCTTGCAGAGAACCAGGCAAGGGATGTTTTTATTTTAGATGTAGCTTCCTGAAAATATTTATCATGGCAAAAGCTTGGAGGTGAGAAACACAAGGTTTTTTATGCTGCTGAGTAGTGTTACTGTATTTCTCTTATGATTTTAATGAAGCCTAAGGGAGCCCAAAGGACAGCACTTGGAGGGGGTGTTTGCAGAACACTAATGATGGTGTGTCCATGTTTGCTGAAGCAAACACAGCTCTCTTAGTCAACACAAGAATTTTCTATTTTTTAACAGATTATTTTTGGCCATTCCTATAGGGCTAATTTAAATTTTGCCTAGTTGGAGGGTGAGAGCCATATTTGAGAGGTGATTTTTTTCCTAATTTCTGTTTCCTTTTCCAGATGATTTCAGTCGTGTCCGCTTAGTCTCAATGAATGAAGAGGAGGGCTCTGACTACATCAATGCCAACTACATCCCTGTGAGTACAGAGCTCATTGTCCTGCACACCAGGCAGAGCTGGGCCCTTGAAAACAGCACAGCATTTCCTGGAAACTCTGTCACGTTCTCAGCATCTCCTTCAGCTTCCAAATATTTTGCCTACAGAGAACAACCACCAAAAAAAAAAAAAAAAGAAAGAAAAAATAAAAAGGGATGGAGGGAGAAGGTTTTTGGCAAATTTTGTTGCAGTAGTTGTGAATCTGTGTGAGACTTTGATTGAGCTGGTATAGAAATAAGCAGGAAATGTTAAAGTGATTCATTGGCCTTTTAAGATAACGAGGCGAAACATAAATGTTCAAATGAGGAATTTTTCTAGATTTCTACTGCACATGGAAGAAAAGAGCTAAGGCAGACACTCCAAATGCACAAAATGCACACAGCCCAGATGGTGTGTGGAGACAATTTCTGCTTTCTGCCTCCTCCCTGGTGCTTCCCCTGCTCTTCCTCCACCTGGCAGGGAGCAGACACTTACCAGGGGTAGCACCCACGGTTCCAGGATAATTACACAGTGTACACAGAGCTGTAGGCAAATATTTTGACACTGGGGGTTGGCTGAAAGCTCATCAGCTCTCTCCACTCTCCCCTGCAGTCACTCAGGCTCATCCCTGCCATGCCACAAGGTTTGTCCCTCTGGTACCTCTGTGCTGTGGCTCAGTGAGGGCTGGAGAGCAGGAATTCCCTGGGCTGCTCTTCATGGTCACTGCAGCCCTTTAGGAAGAGACCTTTCACAGAGAAATGATCATTTTCTATCTGGCTGTAGATAGGGCTGACCCTGGCTGTGCTGGAGAGAGCTGAGCCAGCGTTATGGAGAAAGGAGGAGCCCTTGGATGAGTCACTGGAGCCACTTCTCTGTCACTCTGGCATTGCCCAAGTGTGCAGTGTTGAGCCAAGTGTCTGAGCTTGGCTTCTCTGTGTCCAGGGCATGAAGCTGAGCACTCACACTGCAAAAAAACAGGAAAGAAAAACCTTCCAGGATGCACAGCACGGGAAATTTCTGTCGCAGACAAATTTTATGAAAAATCCTTTTGACAGGATCTTTTTCTCCTGAGAGGCCTCAGGAACAAAATGTAAACAATGATTATCTGCTGCTGTGGAATGCAACAGGTGGATCTGTGATTGGTCTCATGTGGTTGTTTCTAATTAATGGCCAATCACAGCCCAGCTGGCTTGGACAGAGAGCCAAGCCACAAACCTTTGTTATCATTCTTTGCTATTCTATTCTTAGCCAGCCTTCTGATGAAGTCCTTTCTTCTATTTTTTTAGTATAGCTTTAATGTAATATATATCATAAAATAATAGATCAAGCCTTCTGAAACATGGAGTCAGGTCCTCATCTCTTCCCTCATCCAAGAACCCCTGTGAACACGGTCACAAACTTCTGTCACAGGGGATTGGGGATAACAGGATCTTAAACAGCAGCCCCTCTCAGATGTTCAGTTCTGCTTTGCATCTCCTTAGTTCTGCTTCTAGCACAGTGCTGACCATGGAAACTGGGATAAACACGTGATGGTAATGCTGTTCTTTTCCTGATAATCAGTGCTCCACTGCCTCCAAACCCAGAAACCAGGGGTGATCTATCCCTGTGCTAACAGGGATTTGTCACTTGGGTCAGACACAGCCCATGGAGACCAGACAGCAAATTCTGAGTAGTGCAAAAAAACTGGGATTGAGCTTGTTTGCAGAGATGTCTGGAGGAAGCCATTTGTGGGAAATGCTCCCAAATCACAAATAATTTTATGATCCACATACAGTGGTGGTACAGAAAATGCCCAATTTGCATGGGATCATGCTGTGTGTTGGATATATTTTTTGCTCTTGCTTGGAATATAAAATTACTTTCCAAATGCAGTTTTGATGATACAATCTCAGCAAATATGGTTATAGCAGATGCCAAAAGGGTCATTCTGTGGTCTTTTATTATGGTCCTAATAACAGTCTTTTGGTTTTGGAGAGGAGAAAGGAATCTTTCCAACTAAAATCATGTTGATAGATATGGGAAAGGGAATACATGCAAATGAAACAGCATCTGTTAAGTGCATTGACTCATCATCTTCTCTATTATTTTGAATCAAAAATCTAATTAATATTTTATTAATTTAAGGCCTCATTATATAAACGCATGAGTATAATCCTGTTCCATTGACACCAGTGACTGAAAATCACCACAGGCACTGCTTGGGATGAGCAGACTGGGCATCTGTAACTGGTTTTGTGCCTATAACTAAACAAACCCTAAAATTACATAATCTGGAATGAGCTGTAACTTTCTCTTAGGGCTTTTATTACTTGCTTTTTTAATGTGGCCTTTTTTCTCTCTGGGCAAATGATTCATGTGGTAACAGCCTTAACTTCTGCATTTTAGATTGTTTATACTTTGGGAACATCAAAATCTAGCAAAAGTTGTCATCACAAAATAAATACAAAAAAAAAATTCTTCATATTAAAAATCACTTTTAGAAGTACAAATTTTACTTGGGCAAGCTAAAAAAAATGTGAAAAAACCATGTTCTGAAGCAGTAGCCATGTTGGTAAGCAGGACCCATCTCTTTGTCTTTTAGGGTTATAATTCACCCCAGGAATACATTGCAACCCAAGGACCACTGCCAGAAACTAGGAATGATTTTTGGAAGATGGTTCTCCAGCAAAAATCACAAATTATCGTTATGCTTACTCAGTGCAATGAGAAAAGACGGGTATGTAACAAAGTCTTGTGTGTGGTGTAAATGAAACCACTCTGAAAAAGAGCTTTTTTTTATGCTGAGTCAATGTCTTTGTATTGTTTCTGATCATGAGGCAGCATCACAACCAGCCATGGAAAGGCATCTACCTTCCCACTTCAAGAACCTTCTTCAACATTCCCTGATGTTCCCTGACCTCCTTTGACCTTTCTTGAGCTTCTTTGTCCTTTATCGACCTTCTTGGACCTTCCCTGACTTGCTGCACCTTCATTGACTTTTCCTGACCTTCCCTGACCTTCTTTGTCCCCTTCTTACCTTTTCTGACCTTGTTTGATTTTCTTTGACCTCCTTCAACTTTTCCTGAAGTTCTTCAGCATTCTTTGACTTTCTCTGACCTTCTTCAACCTTCCCTGATTTTCCTTGACCTTCTCTTGAACCTTGACCTTCCCTGACCTGCTTTGACCTGCTTTGCAGTTGACTTTTACTTTGATGTTGACTTTATTTAACCTTCCTCCACCCTCTTTGAACTTCTTTGACGATCCCTGACCTTCTTCAACCTTTTCTGCTCTTTTACCTCCCCTGACCTTATTATGAAGCTTCTCCTCTTACATGAGGAGAGACTGAGAGGGCTGGGACTCTTCATGCTGGAGAAGAGGAGGCTCCAGGGGCTTGTCACTGTGTGCAAACACCTGATGGGAGGGAAAGGAGATGAGGGACTCCTTTAGTGGCGACTTGCCCGGTGACAGGTCAAGAGGTGATGTGCACAAATATAAAAAACCACATTAAATTCCTTCTGAAGGAAGGAAACACTTATTTACTGTGAGGGGGACTGAGCACTGGGACAGGATGCCCAGAGCTTGTAGAGTCTCCATCCTTGGAGATATTCCAAAGCCACCTGGACATGGTCTAGAGCTGGCTCTAGGTGACACTGCTTGAGAGGGGAGGGGGGATGACCTCCAGGGTCTTCCATCCTCAGGCTTTCTGTGATTCTGCACTTTTAAGTTTAAATAATTATAAAATACAAGTTCTAGCTTTACATTTTCCCTTGATACTGTAATAGAAATATTTGGAATATAGTTTGGGGCTATTTATATAGACATTCTCTTTCCCAGCATTTTGCTCCGTTTAGACCTTTATATCAGGAAGAATAATAAAAGGCACTTTATGTCTATTCTTCACTGCACTGAAGCTGCCCTTCTGAAAACTGATAAATAGCTGATGGCCACAATTAAATGGGAATGGTCAGACTGGAAGTCATTGCAGGATAAATTTCTTCTTATTTCAGCAGCAAGTGAACAGTGACAGGCATTACTAACCCTGAAGTTCTGCCTCCTTTCGCGTGTGCTTCCTTCCATATGTGTATCTTCATATAAATACAAAAATGCCTGGATTTCCCCACGTTTCAGGTGAAGTGTGACCACTACTGGCCTTTCACAGAAGATCCTGTTGCTTATGGGGATATCACAGTGGAGATGCTGAGCGAGGAGGAGCACACGGACTGGGTGTACCGCAGCTTCCGAATCAGCTACGTGAGTGAAAAGGAGTGATTGCAGTCCAGCCTTTCCTTTAACTCTTGTCCATTTCTGGCATTCAGCAGGAAACACCTAAGAGAGATCAATGTATTACCCTCACTTCACACAGACAAATGATGAAATCACAAAACTTTCCCCTAAAATCGTTGTCTCTGAATTTCTCAGCAAAACGCAAAGCTGGAACAAAAGCAGCACCAGAGCTCTGGACACTTCTGTGGTACCAATAATTACTGACAACAAATGTGTGAATTCCTTCTTTTCTATATCTCAGGCACCCCTTCTTGCTATAAATTATTCAAAACTTGAAAATACCAATGGAAGAATTGAAAATAATTCTCAAAAGGGCAATTCTGCAATAATCATGCCCACCTATAAAATATTTAAACATAAGTGAGAGTATGTGGTGTCCAGATTAAAGCTCCTTAGACTTTCCTTCCACCTTTGTTTCCTGTATCAGCTCATTGCCAGCACCATCTCATGAAGAAAAGTTTAGGGATATGGAGGGGATGTGGAAAAAGCTGTGCAGTGGCAGCTCACCACTGACCCAGGACCTTATGTGTTGTGTTGAGGATTACTTCAGCTAAAGCCAGTAGAATTTTTAGCATTGTAAATGTGGGTTTTTTTAAAATGAGCTTTTTTTCCTAAATGTTTTCTCTGGTAATAGTTTTTTCTTCCCTTAGGGCTTTTGTTTGTTTGTTTGGGTTTTTTGTTTGCTTGTTTGTTTGGGGTTTTGGGGTGTTTGTGGGTTTTTTTTGTTTGTTTTGTTTTTTTTTGGGAGAGTGTTGGGATTTTTTGGTGGGTTTTATTTGTGGGGTTTTTTTTGTTTGTTTTGTTTTTTGTTTTTTTCTTTAAAACTTGAAAGGAAAATCTCTCGAGAGTCCAGGTTTGACTGTTTGCCAACAGTGTTGTCCTTTATCTGTGAGATAAAAACAAAAGGAGAAAAGGAGAAGGAATGGAATAAAAAGAGGAAAAAAAGCCCAGAGTTGAAAAATGCAACAGTTCTTGATTTAAAAGCAGAATAAGATGGAACTACCACAGGAACCAAAGGAAAAAGCAAATCCCAAACCCAGAAACAGGAAGTTCATGTTGTTTTGGTAATGATGGCCTGATATCCCCCTCACTTTGCAATTAACTAGCTTGTTCTTTGCTAATTTTTTGGCTGGTTTCAGTCTTTCAGGCTGTATGTGGGCAAAAAAACAAAAGCAAAAATTGACAAAAAAGCCCCTCGGTGTGACTGAGTGTGATGACGTGCTGCTGTTGTGCTTGTCCCACCAGGCTGATGAGGTGCAGGACGTGATGCATTTTAACTTCACTGCCTGGCCAGACCACGGCGTGCCCACCACCAACGCTGCTGAGAGCATCCTGCAGTTTGTGCAGATGGTCAGGCAGAAATCAGCCAAGACTAAAGGCCCCATGGTCATACACTGCAGGTAAATGCTTCAAGGAATAGCAGAAGAACAAGGTGTGACATTAAATGAAACAATGAGAAATAGATATTGTGGGGTTCTGCTCACCTGTTGGCGGAAGGTGGTTCTCTCTGCTGTTACGCAGCTCTGCCCTGTGACCTCATGGAGAAATTCATAGAGGATACTGTTCTGTGAGTCTTAGTGCCAAAAAAAGTCCTCAATAAGCCAGGAGAGAGATTTATATATCATATTATGAAGTCAGACCCTGTATTTACTGCTTAATTGTCCTAGGGAGGAATAGAAGCAAGTATCAGAGAGCTGGGCAACAGCTGTAGTATTTTCTTTTTTTCAGTGAGGATTCTTTTATCAGCAAAGAAGGTATTTTCAGGTAGTACTTTTAGACTATACTGTCTATACATCTATACATATTAGACCACATAGATTAAAAATAAAAATGCTACAAAGTTAGTAGGAGGGGCAGAGAATTAGTTTATTGATCAACTCCTGCAGCAATTGTTCTCAGACTTTCAAGAAGGCGCAGAATTAATTTATCAGTTGATCTGTCCAATTAACACGTCAGAAATTCCATTGTATTCATCTTATTTGAGAAATTAACAAAAGCCAAACTAGAGACCTTTTTTGTGACAGTTATGTTGAACTGTGTTGAGATGAGCTGTTAAACATTATTGCAAACACTTTCAAGGCTTTTCAGAAAAGAATGACAAAACTGAAGAAAGAGCTTTTGCCAAGATACACACTCTTAGTAGTAGGTGAGATGTTGGGATGATGTGTGCAACTCTGTAAAACCTCTGTGAAATCTGACTTAAACACCACATGCAAAATTACAGTGCTAAGAATTGTACACACATAAGAATCCCTAAATGAAGGCAATGTGTGATTTTTCTAGTTGCTAAGCTTTCCTTTGGGGAAAATGCAGATTTTCAGCTGAGTGGTATCTATTTCTATCTCATGCTCCTAAGGCAGAAGTCCTGGAGTGCAGACTCTTCTGGTGATGCCTCGGGTTTAGCTTTTATATTTTTCAGATTCTGTGCTGCTTTAGTGTGTGGGTCTGGGCTTCATATTAGGGGATGGTGAGCTCTGTGCACAGAGCAGGGAGACAAAACAATTCCTGCTCCAGCTGGGCACCAAGGACAAATGACCCAAATCTCAGCCCAGGAGCACAAACACCGTGGGCTGGAGAGAGAAAAACAAGCAGGGTGAGACTGCCTGGGCTAAAGCTGGAATTTGACTATGAACTCCAAAATGCAAATGGAGCAGGAATTTGCATTTTGGGACCATTTTGGTTCATCTTGGGTGCAGCCCTGGCTGGGGTCTTGTGCTGCCCAAGGTGGATCCATGGAGGAGATCCTTTTAATAAATTCCTACTTTATTCTTTAACTCCATCCAGCCTCTGTTCTAGGTCAGCTTTCCCAAGGCATCACTGGGGGTTTGTCCTTTGAGGATGAACTGCAGTAGTTCAGCGCCTTTGCAAGCCAAGAGCTTTGCAGTGTGGAGAGCTGTGGAGCTGAGTCTTGCAGGGTGACCCCCACTTTCTCTGGGCATCCATTGCTCCTGAGCAGGTCTCTGTAGCTCTGGCTCCATCCCCTGGAGTGACAGGGGTCTCATGAAGTCAGCAAGGGGAGCAGTGACAGCAGGAAGAGCAGGGAGTAAGGGTGGGTGAGGCTGTGTGTGCATTTTCTGTGTGTGAGTGGATCCACTCCGCCCAATTAAAGGGTTGTGTGCCACTACATCAGATCAACCAGCCTGGCCTCAGCTCAGTTATATCTGATAGCTCCAGCTGCAGCACTCCTGCCCTTTGCAGTGCCCCTGGTTTTGCAGTGTGTGAATGAGCTGCCATGTCTATGTGTCTTGCAGCGCTGGCGTGGGGCGGACGGGAACGTTCATTGCCCTGGACCGGCTCCTGCAGCACATCCGTGACCACGAGTTTGTGGATATTTTGGGGCTGGTGTCGGACATGAGGTCCTACAGAATGTCCATGGTGCAGACAGAGGTAAGGGCTGTTCACTTCAGCACTGTGACAGTATTGTTGTGCCCATTTCATACCTCTCTGCAGCATGCTCATGACTCTTGTTCCCCCCGAATGTCACCATCTTATTTTCTGAAAAATCCTCTTTGCCCAGGATTCTTCTCCTGGGAAGCTGAGATGCCTCAGAGAAAAATGAAAATAATAATTATCTCATTTGCTTCTCCTGTGTTTTGCTGCATTGGAATGTGGTTTGGACATTGTTTACCAACTGGCCATTGTTTCATTGGTTTCAAGTGAATTGTTTTAACTTAATGACCAATCACAGGCTGTGTCAGACTCTGGAAGGAGTCACGAGTTTTCATTATCATTCTTGTTAGGCCTTCTGTCTGTATCCTTTCTCTATTCTTTAGTATAGTTTAATATAGATCATAAAATAATAAATTAGCCTTCTGAGAATATGCAGTCAGACTCACTCATTCTCTCCCCTCATCAGGGTTGCCTGCAAATTCAACACCTTGAACACTTGATAAAATCACTATCAATCAATATTATCAAGTTTTCATCTTCATTGTTGTGTTGTCACATTATTAATCTGCTGCATAGGTGGGTTTGATGATTTATCTGTACTCTCACTGTCTGCCAGAGGAAATGAGTTACTCTCACCTTCTGTGAAATGAATATGCAAACAGGGCATTAGAAGAGATTAACGTATGAAACTTTCAAGCCACACTGTAAAGAGCTGGCCTTGCTGAGGGGATTAATGGCTCATGAAATGATATCAGTATCAGGCAGCCTTGTTCAAGTATCATGTTGATATCATCCAGCTCATCACACAATGGGATTTCAAACAAGAAAAACAGACAAAAGGATTGTGAGTCTGCCAGACACCCTCCTTGCCCCTCGCCCTACCCAAATATCTATTGGGTAGTTCTTTTTCTGTTTTTAAGAAAAAAATGTATAGATGATATATACTGGGGTAAAAAAAAAATCACAAACTCATTCTTCAAAGCAGAAGATTTTATGCATCTAAAACCTTCCCAGTTCCCCTGGTAATGAGGGAAATATTTCATATTTCATGCCTGTTGTACTCTTCCTTCATTAGACACACAGTATAAATGAGCAAGCTCCATGCAGCTGGAAGTGCCACCATCACTGTTTTCAGGCTGAATTGTTTATTGCCAAAGTTTGTTGAATTGGGAGCAAAGAAAAAACTTTTATCAGGGAGAGGAAAGGAGGAAGAAAACCTGCAGTGGCAAGAACTAGGATCTAGAAATGAAAAAAAAAACCCTAATTTTCATTCCATTTTAGATCATTCCTATCAAACTGCCACTTTTCATCACAATTCAATGTATTACTCCAAAAGCAGATCCTTTCCACAAGAGGAAAAAATCCTGATGGTTGATTGATTTCAGCTGCAATTGTTACCACTCCAGAGGTGATGTGGGTTTTTGTAGGGCTTTTTTTTTTCTTTAAATATTTCCTTTTTTTTCATGTAGAACCTCATTGCATTGCTGGGACTGATTTTATGGGCATTTACTGAGCTCCTGCTGCTACAGGCAGTGGCCAAGCCTTGCCTCAGAGGTCACCAAGTGACACTGACACTCAGCCACAGAGGCCACCAAACAGTTTTTCCTTACAAAATATGAAACCACTGACAGCTCACCTGAGTTCACATTGTCTGCTATGCTGGAAACTTGGCAGTATCTCAATGAGCAGTTTAAAAAAACAAATGGCATGGGCCCAAAAAAGGGTTTAGAATGGCGAATATCCTGAATTGAAACCAGGCTCTCCAAATTAACTGCTCTGTGAACAAAATGGGGCTTTTCTTCTTATTGATAAAGAAGTCAAACACTGAGGAACCTGAACCTCATTAAAATATTTCAGGTGCATATGTGGCATGGGTGCAATTTGTTGCACATAAAGCATCCAGATACCTTTCTTGGAATTTATTTATTTTTAGGCAATGTAAAATAGACCGACTTTAACTCAGATCCAACTCTTCTGTCATCATTCAGGTTATTAATAAGTGATTATGGTGTCAGGTGGACTGGATTTTCCTTCTATCTGTAGCCATTGTGGGCTATTATTTTGAGAGCTGACTGTGCATTGTGAGGAGCTGAGCTGGGAGACATGGAGCTGTGCAGGCTGTTACAGTGAACTATCAAACTATTTCACTGGTTGTGTTTTTGTCATGCTTTCTGGGGTACAAAAATGCCCTTTTATTTGATCTTTTCTTCTAGGAGCAGTACATTTTTATCCACCAGTGTGTGCAGCTGATGTGGCAAAAGAAGAAGCAGCAGTTCTGCATCAGTGATGTCATATATGAGAACGTCAGCAAGTCCTAGTTCAGAGTCACAGGTGGTAAGTCAGGCAAGCCTGGCCTTCCTTATTCCTCTTCCCTGTTCACATGGAGAGTGAGGGGAAAATCCATCTCTCACAGTAAATAACCAGTAAATAACCCAGCCTCTCATAGTAAATAACCCCCCACCCTTCCTTCCCATGGCACTGTAAGAATATATGGGCGCACTCATGTGTAAAGAAAAAGAGAATCCAAACTCCTGATGAGCCATCTCAGCATTCCGTGCCACTTGTCCTGACATGCGAAGATTAAAGGCAGGGAGAACTGAATATCTCCAGTTGTTTTCAAACAGGAATTTTGCCTGGTTACCAAGGCCAGCAGCTGGAGGGTGAGTTGGTACCCAAAAAGCTCTGGCATGAAACAGTGGGAAATGTTTTCCTAAATCTAAAACCACAGAAGCAGCAGGGTCTCAAAGTGCCACCAGCAGCATAAATGAAGGGTTGGTCTCACTTTGCCAGTGACCCCTGTGCCTGAGCAAAACAAGAGGCTGTGACCACGAGGTTTGCAGGTGGGGACAAGCCGTGTGGATGTGTGTCACTGCTCTTTAAGCTACCCAGCTTTGGTTCATTAGGTGGCAGCAATAACCCAGTCATAACCTTAACACTCCCTTTTGGGTGGAGCAGGAAGTCTCGGGATCTCTGCTGCTCACAGTGACTCTGAGATGTGTCACAAAGTCTCTTTTCCCAGCCCGGCAGTCAAAGGAGGAGTCAGAACTCTTCAGTTCTTGCTCTCAAGGTTGTTTATTGTTCCTTATCTATAAAATTCTTTCTCCTGGCCTGCTGAGGTCAGACAGAGGCACTCTGCCTGCCCCCGGGGCAGTGTTATCTCTTTATACTAAAAACTACATGTACAATATTTACAACTACTTTCCAATACCTAAGTTAGACAGTGAGCTTCTACTCTAAACCAACCCAAAAGTGCCACCATCAAAGCAGAAGATGGAGCCAAGAAGGAGAAAGGCTGGACACACCCAGATTCCTCCATCTTGCCCCCGAACCCCCATTCTAAAACCCCCAAAAAAATCTATTTTTCACCCTGTGATAAATTCACAATCATTCTACTTAAACTTTCGTGGGTTGTAATTCTTCATATAAAGGTTGGTAATTGTTTTTTCCAAGGGCTAAATCAAAGGCACAGGGGTCCTGGGCTCTGTGCCAAGGTCTCTGAGCCCCCTGGGCAGGGGCTGGAGCCATCCAGAGCAGCCAGAGGAATTTCCTGGGTTCCAACAAGGAAGATGCAGACTGACACAAACTGCTTTTCTAGCAGCTGGTGGATAGATGTGCTTGAGGGCAGCACCTCCAGCCGTGTCTGCTGTGTGTCATGTGCATTTATTATATATGTGTGCTTCATCCCCTGCCAAAAGGAACCCCAGTTTGCCTCACTGTCCCCTGGTTTTAGGGTTGCTGTCTAATCTGAGTCCCAGCACCCTGCACCTGCAGTCCCAGCCTGAGTGGAGGGTCAGTAAAACAAATGCTAAAAACTGCATTTATTTCCTTTTCTTCTCTCTAAAGCATTCTGTTTGTCTGGTTGCAGGTGAGACCATGAAGCACACCCATCTTCCCTTGCTTCTGATTTATTTTCTGTTGATGGTTTGAAGGGGCAGGTGCTGTGCCACGAGAGACCACTGCTCTGCAGTGCATGGACAATGAGGGAAAGAAACTTTTACCTTTCTGAAGCACTGGGGAGACAAAGCCTTAACGAGCCTGCGGTGTCTTTTGAACTGTTTAATTTCTGGACATTTTTTTTAAATACTGGACCAAATTCAGCTAAAACAACATGAAGGAAAAGACACTATATGTGCATAAGACAGATTGCTCCAGAGTGTTGGGGTTTTGGTTAATTTCTTTCATGATTTTGTTTTTTCCTGTGCAGGTTGGGCTTAAGGTTAAAGTAAGTGCAATATTTTTTTAATGGTTGACTGGAGAGCTTTCTTCATGTGTCACTGGTCTGTCCCTAGGAGAGCAGGCATTGTTAGTATCTAATAATACCTCATTAGTGAATAGCGAGGCATGAACATACATGAAGAAACCTGGAGATTGTGAAAGGGGGCTGGGAGGGCGGGGGGGTTGCTGGGTCCATGGATTTGATGGATTTGACTGTTCCCTTACAGCACTGATGGATGTGGGGCCATGGGGGAGCACTGACAGCAGAAATCCGAGCTGTGGAGCTGAAACAGGCAGCTGAGAGAAGGGATGGGGCTGGTTCTTGACTGGGCTGCCACTCACTAAGCAGAGGGATTGCTCTTTTTGCCAACCTTTTTGCAGTAATGCCACTGATCAGGCTTCTTTTTTAGATGGATCTAATCACAGGGCAGCTGAGTTTCCAGCTGGGATATCTTAGCATATATAGCATTTAACTGTGTGAGCAGTCTATGGTGCCTATACCCCTCACTCATGCATTATTTTTAGTAATTATTAACCCTGTGTAAAAACATAAAACTGGTTCAGGTTGGAGGGGTGGAAAGAAAAAAAAAAAAAAAAACAAACACAAAAAGTGCTTTAATGGACATAACTATTTTTCCTGAACCAGGAATTTCCAATGTTACAAATACAACGTTTTGGCATGTGAAGGGCTGGTTTTCAATTTGTTGCTACAAGGCTGCCAAAGTGTCAGTATGGATTCCTGCAGGGCCTTTGGGGCAGGGTGGGGGGCTCTTTTCTTTTTTGCTGTCCATTTCAGTTCTAGTCAAAATAATTAGCTTATATATATTTTTTTTTTCTGGTCTTTGTATAATGCCGGTACATCATTGTGTATTGTGACATGGATGCTGTCAGAATGGATGTTTGATGGCATTTTTTGTAACCTGTTGCTTTGTGTCCCCTCATTGGAAGTTAGCAGCAATGGTACTCAATGTAAACAAAGCAGACTTGAACTGGAAGTAAACACACTGGATTGCTTACCTGTGGAGAAGTCACTGTCAGCAAAACAGCAAAATACACCTGCACAGGCTTTATATTTCATTTACTCTGGCTCTGCTATCACCTGGCAGGCACCAGGATGTAGGGCGGTAGCTCTGCTGCCCTCAGGAGCCTGATAATCTCCTTTAGCTGATTTTCTTTTTTCTTCCTTTCTTCTGGCAGGTAAATAGGTGCATACTTATTTGGTAACTAATTCATTGTGGTATTGGTTACAGCAAAAAATTTCTTTAAAACTGTATATTATGCAAAACTGCGTAGACTTAACATCATTCCCAGAAAAAACAGGTCCTTGTGAGGGGTACTAAACAAACAGGGAATAACAGCTGATTACTAAATGGGTGTGATATGCATTTCCCTTCCCTTCTGTTTCCAGGCACTTTCCACTGCTCCCAGTCCTGGAGCAGGGTTGCTGTTTCTCCAAGCACAAGGTGGATGCAGAAAGGAAGGGCCTCTTGTTTCAGGGAGCCAGCTGGTGACAAGAAAGGCTCCAGTGGTGCACATTTCTCCCTCATTTCACTGTGTGCCTCAGCCGGAGGGCCTGCCTTTCCAGTAGGAACAGCAAAGAGCCTAAACTGAACAAAAAACCAGAATTATAAATGAGCACCATTTAGTCCTTGCCTCCATGCTTTTTTTAAAAAATCCATTTCAGATTTTCATTACATGCTTACTCAGAAAACGTGTTTTTATCCTTCTAGAAAACTGGCTGAGGGAGAAAAAAACCAAGCCACAAATTCTTTCTCATCTGCTGTCTCCTCCCTCCTGCTGCCCACTGAGCCCATGCTCATTCTGTATCACAGAGCAGGGTAAGCAGGTTACTGCTAAACCATTCCCTGTGCCCACAGTGTCACAGTGTGAGCTGGCTGTAACAGGAGCTTGGCTGAACGTGGCAGGGTCCAAAATTGCTGCAAAGATGCCAAAATCACACTGCAGCAAAGGACACTGAGCAGCCTGAGTTTACTAGACAGTTTGGAATGCATGTCAGAATTTTTTCCTTTTGCACAGCAGCAGGTGTGTGTTTTTCCTTTAATAGCTACTTAATCACAAAGTCAATTACAATGAAAACTCCATCAGAATAATGCCTTTTCCCACCCCACACAGCTGTGTCAGTGGACATGTGGGATGGCAATGGAAACCACCTCTCCCAGCATTCAGGGCATGAGTAAAGCAATAAATGAGCCTGGAAGACACTGTGGCTCAGAATACTCCTGCAGAGCTTTTAATTCTGAATTGACACATCACAATTTTGGCTCTGCCTCATCATACACCTCCAGTGTAAGTCCAAAAGAACAATGTTTTGGACTCATGCTTCATGTTAATGTTGTTTCCAGCATCTGCTAAAGTAAAACCCTCCAGTCATCACAGCTGTAAAGCTGTCTGAAGCCTCAGGTTTGGTAATAGATATTTGGAATTATGGGCTTCATGTCCAAGGCTCTGCTGACACTATTGATGCTCTTTATTGATCTGCTGCTCTTTTAGATGTCTGCAAAAGCAGCTCTGTGCTGTGAGTGACCATTATCTGAAACCAGGGCAGGTTTTCTCTTTGTCTCATGCTGTGTGTGCTGCCATGGAAGCAAAAAATAGGTAAAATTAAGTACTTAGAAGTGATAAGAAAAGTGTGGAAGTGTGGCCTCTCCAAGCACATCCTGTGCAGTGAGCCCTGGATCTTCAGGAGTGTTTTCTTCAAACATCACCAAAAGATGAAGAACAGGCCAGGAAGCCTTACTTGTGCTTTATTTCAGTTTAATGTTTTGGGGTTTTTTTTTTTTTCCTTACACCAAACTAGAATTAATTTCCCCAGTCAAATAATCAACATCATCATCTTATGCTCTAAAATGGTCCTTCCCTCCCTCCTTTAACCACAGTCACACCACCTGCCCCTCACTTCTAATTTTAAGGGCTTGTAGCCAAACTCTGATTTCATTGAGGCAGGCAAAATCTGTTATTTCAGCCATTTCTTGTGAGAGGATAATGTTGTTGGTGCTCTCGGCATGGATGGGAGCAGGGTGGGTTGAGCTTTGCTGCTGCTGTGACAGGCACCAGTGAGGACTGGGAATCTTCTAGGAAGGCTCCCTATTTTCACTCATCTCCTCTTTTAATCTGCAAATATTACCAAGGAACAGAAGCACAGACTCATATCCTGATTCTCATTTTGGTCTGAAAACTTAGGAAATAGTTAGAGGCCAAAGTTGCAACCTAAGCAACTCAAAAACTGAAAAAAAAAAGATAAAGCCAAGCCAAAGGCACTTGTTAGAACAATGTCAAAAAGTTGACATTGCTTCAGTAGAAATTTAAAGTCTGTGAATTATTTAAACACAGAACCAATACAGATCCCGTCTCCTTTGCACTTCTCATTTATAATGTTGGTGTTTTTATGTAGAGGTGGGAGATTGATCTCAAAATCATTCCCTCAAATACTTTTGATGTATCAGAACCTTAAACAGGGATGGTTTAGACACCAGACTCAATATAGTAGAAAAACTGGGCTCCTATGAAAGGGTAATTTGGCCAGAAAATTGAGTTCCCATTCATAATCATGTATCCTTTATGCTTCAAATGAAGGAAAATCAGTGATCATACCTGCTTGAACAAAGTCTGGTATTCAAGCTATAGCTTGCTTCTGTCTGTGACCAGAAAACTCAAAATGCCTTCACTCCCACATTAAAATAAAAATTCTGGGACTTACAGGTTTCATAATTAGAAAGAATTTACATCTTACAGATATTAATGGATTCTTTGCTTTGTTCCCTTAAATTATCACAATTCTGAAGTTCACAAACACTCATGAACACACTGAAAGCTCTGCACATTTCAGACTTCATCATAATTTTGCATATGATACCTCTACTGCTCCATAAACCATTTATTTCTGCACACATCAGTCATGGATATATGCACTTATTTCCCAACCCCACTCAAAACAAAAACCTAACAAACAATAAACACCAATTTTTATACAATTCAATGCTTTGGAGCAATGGAAAATTGTATACAATTCCACAGATCACAGTTTGTCTGAGCAAAGCCCTGTTTAACATTTGAATTTCTGGATGGTAAGTAAAGTGCTCCACCCAATAATATTGGCTAGAAGTGTTCTTTCTGCATTTATTCTGTGGTTTCACAGTGGTTTGCTCTCCCCATGGTGTCCCAAGGGAACAAACAGCCTACAGAAGTGGGAAGAAGTGCCTTGCTGATGTTGAAATGTTTGTGCTTTGAAAGCACAGAACTGCTGAGTGAACACAGGCTGCTAAAATTCCCTCCCTCCACCCAGCTAAAGAGGCAGATTGATGGCAGAAAAATAGTAAATTACTCCCACTTATCAAATGTCTAATAAGGCACTGATTTTGGCATTTAAAAAACTGCTTTCTTCTCAAAGACATATCACATCCTTCTGAAATATTAGTATTGAAAAAATACTGCTCAAATCCCAGAGAAAACATTTTGAATGGAACACTGCATTTTACTACTGGTTTCATTTTAACCATGGAATATTCTGAGGAAAACATTTCATTTGAGGAACCCCAAATGAGATCTCCTTCCGATTTCTTATGACTGCCAACAAAATGAAAATTCAAAAACTGCACAGCAGCATAAGGGTGAAGCTCCCTGCAGTGCTTTAAACCACCAAGGATATTCCAGTAAACAGAGGAATATTTCCCTCAACACCATTCAGATTTCCCAAGGTGTAACACAGAAATCATAATGATTAGTTCAGCAAAGTTTAAAGGGTAAATACAACTCAAGAAGCACCTGGTTGATAATTTATTAGTAGTTTAAAAACTGAAAAAAAATGCCCAAACCAACCCACCAACCCCAAGATGGTTCTGGTTATTCAGTGTGTGGAAGGGGTTTCCTCTTTTCTCCCTAAGTATCTCCTAAGATGCTTCTGAGCACACTGACCACATCCAGACTTGTCTGGCACTTTTTAAACATCACCTCCAATGAAACCCAGCTCCAAAAAACCCCAAACTGTTGTGAAGAGACCTCTTTTCTCTCATAGGTGAAATATGAGTTCTCCCTCCAACACCTCAGAGTGGCAAACTTCACAAATTCTGGGATATCCCAGAGCTGGTGCCTCTTTCTGGGCATAAGCAAACCATGTACTGAATGCTGAAATAAAAACCAGCAGAGAGCATCAGTATTGGCTTCTTATTTTGGTAATTATCAGGGGAATAGAGGTGCAGGTTACCACCAGAGTGCATTTTTATAGAATCAGACATCCTCCCATGAGAAAAGGCAGGGACTCTAAGTTTTAAATAAGAGTTTCAAAGACCTTTTAAAAAGGTTCCTCCTGTTACACGTACAAGTAATAGGATTTATAACTTCTTAACCCATTTCTGAATAAGACTATGTTTATGCAGACAGGCATAAAGAATATATAGCAAATGTAAAAACATACATGGACACACAACCAACCACACAGAAGTAGTATTTGCAAGGACATTTATAATAAATGGCACTAACACCTTTATTAAGATTTTAATTTTTCATTTGTGAAAAAAAATGAATAGATTTTTTTTTCCCTTGTACGCAGAGGAAAAGCAAACTAATGGCAAAAATCAAGATTACTTTCTTATTTCAATACTGTCTTTGTAGCCACAAAGATACAATAATTTAACAGACAAGAAATACTGTTTATTGCAGACTTTAAGCTGATTCATGTGAAAAAGGCACTATGAAACTTAATCAAACTAGATGATTAAATTTGTCTAAATTAAGTGATATTATATATTATATATAATACATATATTATATATAAAATCACATGACCATATGAAACAGAACATTTTGTGACAAAAATCATTGCATCTCCAAAAATAACATTTTCTGTAAGGGATGTTTCTCTTTTCTTTTTTCCCCTGTTTTACCTTCAGGAATCCACTTTTCCAAAAGATTACATTTATAAAGGCAATTACAAAGGCTTTTTGCATGAGGAAAAACTGATATCTGGGATCAACACACAGAGAAGTCTAGATTATACACT